CAGTTGTTTCACTCAGTTTTGACCGTGAATTCACTATTTTATATGTTTAGCCTTTCAGTTGTTTACATTTGAAAGCTACAGGGGAAAACCAGTAGCACATTTTTTTTTTTTTTTTTGATTTTTAAATACAGTGGATTCCGCTTAATTTGGCCACCGGTTAATATGGGCATCCGCTTATTGTGGGCAAACATGTCTGGTCCCAATACAAATGTATATTAACAATGTCAAATAAAACCGCGTAATATGGACACTTGATTCGGTTTATGTGGGCAATTTTTTTTATCATAGCGTTAGAATATACACATAAGTATTTAAAAACGATTAATTTAATCGGGTTCCGTCGTATCTATGACATTGTGTTTATCGAAAGTAATAAAAATCATTACCATTCAAATAAACAAATTTCGCCAAAGAGAGGCGAAAAAGTGCATTGATTTCTTGCAGAAGTTATTCATGCAAGAGGGAAACGAAAATAGTCCGTCTGATAAACTTGAAGCGTGTGCCTATTTTGTCAACCAGATCCATACTAAACAGCTTAGACAACGAAAAATTACAACGTTTTGTATACCTTCTACATCCAAAGATTAATTTTATTTAATATATTATATGTATTTAGTTTTATTTATATATCTAGTAATTATTTAAAATTTTTTTCAATTATATGATAATACAAATATATTTTTTTATTATAATTTTTTCTTTTTTTTACTAATTTCGGTTTTTATGGGCAACCGCTTAATGTGGGCAAACAGGGCTGGTCCCAACGTGCCCACATTAAGCGGAATTCACTGTATTTTGTCATCACAAAAAGTGCATATTTCTTTTCGATATCTAACCATCTTTAAAATATCAAAAAAAAATATTAATTATGTATACTCGTAGTTTTTTGATTTTCAACTCGCTAACGTTTGACATATATTTTCCATAATACGTTTAAAATCTCCACTTTGCGCTCACATCGTCCGCGATCCGACGCAGTCGGATTGCCTACCTGGGAGGTTTAAACGCATTTAATTGGATTTTCAATGGTGATCGCTTGAAAAATCGAGCGCTCGATTCGACTTAAACTTTTTTGCGTACTAAACAGCACAACGCCTTCGACGTCAGGAAGTATGACAATCCGCTGCAGGCGGATTGCCCTGTCAGGAAACGATATTCACTGGACGATGACTGATAACTAGACACTTAATTACCTTTTCGGAATGTATTTATTTATTTTCCATGCACAAAAGCACAGGGCAAGCTACGGGACAAGGTGTATTACACCTGTAAATTTAATGAAATAACCCACCACTAAACGTTCGAATTGGACTTTTATATACTTTTATTATATTATAAGATTATTATTTACGCGTTTAAAACGACACCGCCAAAGTGTAAAACCATTAAATCAGAGGTACCAACGTCTCAAACATCGTTATCACTGGTTTCGCCTACTAGACTTTTCTAACTGCGGTATTCTTAAGTTGTGTCTCCGACCTAGGAAATTCACTTCAAACGATTTTCAGCTACCTAGGGTATTCACATACAGCGAGTTTTTCCGACCTAGGGTATTCACATATAGCGAGTTTCACCGACCTAGGGTATTCACTTACAGCGAGTTTCACCGGTGCTAAACTTATAATATAAAATGAAGAATAGTTGCTACTCGTACTCACTCGTATTACACGCGTATTCCTGGCGCGTTCTCCGGTCGGTCATCGTATCGTCACTACTGTTTTTTTTTTTACGATACGATAAATCGTTTATCCGTATCGATTACACGTTTTTTTGTTTTCGGTGTCTCCGCCCTCGGATGCCTCCGCGACCTTATCGTCTCGATAGCGTACGAAATACGATTATATATGTGTATATATAAATAATAATAATATTATATAAAAAAAGAAACGTGCGTACCATTGTTGACGTACGTCAGATTATGTTTATTATATACAAAAAAATCGCAAAATCGTTGCTCTTCAGTCGTTGTAATGCCTTTAATCGCATACCTTTGGGTAGATATCGTGATATATGTATGTGATAATAAGCTCGGTACGTTGTTGAGACGTATACGATTAAAAAATGTAAACGAATACGTCGGAAACATTCTATCGGAAACATTCTAAACGACAATAAATATGCAATTTACGGTTTCGTGACACGCGAATCATAAAAATAGTACGGGTTAAACGACGTATAATGTAGTATTCGTCGCATCTCTAAAACGGTTTAAGTGCTCGAGATTCGGTCGTGGTTTACAACTCAAACTGTAGTTGATAGGTGTTAGGATAGGTCCCCCGTTGTTAGGTAGGCAGGTATATATTATAATAGGCATAACATTTTGTAAAACGAATAGATATAATTAATAATTATTTTAATTATAATAGTTATACGAAAACCAATAAAAATAAATCCAAATTTATAAGAATAAATAATCTAAATAACATAATTCTAGTTGGTGTTATAAAATAATATTAATACAAAAATCAATAAAAATATGTCCAAATGTGTTATTTAAAAAAAGAGTTTTTAAGGGTAATATATTTAAGGTATTGTAAAGGGGTTATAATTTTATTATTTAAATTGTTTATATGATGATCAATAAACTTTTGTTTTTTTAAATACATTGCCTTGCGTTTCACGGGTATTAAATTATGACTTGATGTTATTTTTTATGTATGTATCTGTTTGGTATTGTTTTAAAATTTTTTAGAAATTGATGAATATTAGGATGAGATTCTAAGGCACTTGACATATTAAATCGCTACGTTATCGTAAATCGATAAGAGTACCAGCTTTAAGATAAAATGTTCGTAAACTCATCAAGTAAAAACCAATTCATGGTTAAATATACCTCACACCATGTATGACAAAAATATTAGATGTAATATGTCTATTTATCTGTCACATTAACGCTTACCTACTATATATTAGGACGCAATCGGCTATCAAAACACGGAAAAGGTGGCAAAAAATCGTTTACCTGAATATGGGACGCAATCGACAAACTTCGGTGTAATATGCGCCAAAATAACCCCCCCCCCCCACAATAAAAAAAAAAATTAAAAAAAATGTTATTTTTGCTACATATAAAAATTTATTTTGGTAATTTGCATTACTTTTTAAGTTTGTAATTTGCGCCAAATGAAACTAAATAAATAGGATTTATGTAATCTGTCCACCGTGTACCTAAATAAATTGTTACTAGCGCCACAATTATTATAATTATAAACAAATGTATGTAAATAAAACAAAACTATACATGTATATTAAATAAGTAAATTATTGTTTAGTATGTACTATTTTTGTAATATAACATATAATTTTTGAAATTAACGTTTAACACGAATTTTTTTGCCTTAAACGATTTATACATACACTAATGAATTCGAGTTATCAAAGTAGTTTAAATCAAATACGCCTATTAAAGTACAATAGTACTTAAAATGTACAATAATATAATAGTTAAAATTATTACATTATTTTTCGTATGGTATAATCCAACACTAATACATATAAAATTAGTTCATACTATAGTAACAACAAAAATTACAACAAGATATACAAACATAAAATTTCGTTAAAATGTAGAAACATAAATTCAAAAACACACTTTCCAATCATTCATATATATTTCACATTTTTTAATTTAACTTAATTTTATTACATTTATTGATTTAAATTATCAATTACATACTAAATTTTATCATGCATACAAAAAATATATAAAAATTATTATTGTACATTGAATTTAAACTATAAAAAAATTGAAATAATTTTGTTTCATAAACTGACAAAATCGGTTATATTAAAACTTACGTAATAGAGTAGTGAATAGTTTGAAAAAGTTAATGATGGGTTTTTGTGTGAGTATTACTTGATAATTTTCCAAACACTGTTTTCTGATGTTGTTAGATTGGTCATCGAATTTGCAGTTCACCTCTGCAATGTTTGGAAAATTTGGCGAGCGTATCAAAGGCTGCTAACATATCAGATCGAGAAGGTTTATCTATTGGAGTTCAGTAGGTTCAAGCTCTTGAGCTAAGATTTCGGGTTTTCATATTTTCAGCATTATAATCCAATAGCATAAACTTGAAAAAATAGCATTTTCATTAGAAACTGAACAACAGCTAATAATTTATTCAATCTTCATCATCAATATTCTTGTTGATTATTTCAGTGGTGATGGAATTTTCTGTTCGTGTTGATTAATAATATGACATTATGGTTTGTAAATTTGTTCGACTTTCGTGTTAACCAAAAATTCGTGTAACCAAGAAAAAGTCTTCCATTGCGTACCATAAACTTTTTTCAAATAGAAGTGATATAATTCAATACACGGTTATTGGATTAATAGTGAAAACAGGCGACGAAAAATATCAATAGAAAACAGTAATGTTAATAAGTGAAGAGGGCCTACGTGTACAGGTAATATAGCAGACATACAGTATATTAATTAATATAGAAAACAAATGATCTACTAAAAACATATGATACGGGAGGCATGTTATCCGGACGCCGTAAGATACTAGGATCATCATACGTACGTAAGAACCTGAGGACCCGTGAACACTGGAAAGAGACCTACATAGGAACCCCCGAGATAGGAATTTTTCATACATGATAAAGATTTACAAGAGCTAAAGTAAGAAGCTATTTGGTTGTTTTGATTTAGAAATTTTTTCAATTAAAAAAAAAAAACATTTTGAAGAATTTATGATTATTTATTTTACCACGAATACTGCACAACTTCATAGATGGTTACTTATACTTATGGATTCAGCTACTTATTTATAACACGAATTATAAAATGCAATTATTATTTAACACTTTTCCACGTAATGATAATTTAATAATTTTACTGTGTTAGTAAAAGGATAATGGGTATATCACATAAACTAATACAGTACAATTTGAAAAAGTCAATACACTATTTTCAAATATAGCTTTATCTACGATATAATGATTATATGGATACTCATTACATATATAAATAAGTTTTGAATTACAGTAAAAAACATTTTAAAATTATCAACAAAACAAATAACATTAATCTTCATTTTTCTGCAACTTTAAATATTTCATGTTCAGTCATTATCAATTCTAGGTAGGTATCGATAATCTTCTCCAAGGGCCCAACTTATTTCAGAAATGATATCATATTTCTTGAACTAAAGTATGTAAACATTTTATGAATGTCAATTTTAAAATCATATTAACTTATTGAAGTAACAATATACAAACGGTGATTGAAGGATTGTCACCAAAATCAATTAGTTGATTCAATAATACAAAAATATAGACCAAATCGAAACATTTGAATGGTTTACTGTCGTCAAATGCTTGGCTAAAACATTCTTCAAAAAGTTATACTTTAAATTAATTATTGATGCATAATGAATATCTGTAAATACATTTATCTTATACTTTTAGTTATAAATAATAAGAACTTACGTTTAGCAGCTTTATTAAAATCTTCAATTTTTATGCGTTCCTCAGTATTGCCTTAATAATGATATTATATGTATTAAATTAAGAATAATAACATAATAATATTAATACAATATGTGATAATATAATGTTTGAATTTACATACGAACTAAGTTAGCTTCTTTTGCCGTTTCATAAAAAAAAGAAATTGCCATTATAGGTTGTTTAATGGTTACTTTATTCACATTATTTGCAATTAAAGATTGAACTGCTCTCAAACATTGAGTGTAAATTTCATTTGCAGGACTTGAACCACTGGAATGATAACATAACAATTAAGTACAGTGAAAATAAAAAAATAACAATAAAACATATTTGCATCACATCAATAACAGGTTTATTCTTAAGTTTAGAAAATACTTTCATAGTAATTAACGAATTTAAAATTCATACTCAACCTGTTTATATTTTATGTAAATACATTTAATGAATTATTTACAATAAACTTTACTCATTCAAAAAAAAAAACTTACATGATATTGTAATTTTCAAAAAAATATGTATATGAAAATTTATTATTTGTTAAATGGCATGGAGAAGAATACTTTTTGTTATCGTTA